AAAACCAAACCGATATATATATATATATAAAGTGGGAAAATTCCCATATTTCTTAGTCTAAAATATTTTATATTATAAACTTAATTTTTTTATTTTTTAATAATACAACTATATTTTTTAAATTTGTTTTTTTAAGTTTAAATCTTTTAAACGAACTGACCAAACCAATATAGCTCGAGTTGGTTGGTTTTCACTAATGGACGGTTTGTTTTGAGTGACCAAGTCCCCAATCTGGCCAAGTCAATTTGGTTTGTCAAACAATTTACAACTAAACTGAACTAATCCGTGAACACTCCAAATTTCAACTAAACTAATAGTCTAATATTTAATAAATAGCAATAGTTTAATCTCCAATAAGTATTGACAATATATTTATCACAAAAATACAATAAAAGATTACTAAAAATACAATAAATATAAATTTTAGTATATAAATATAGATTAAGATTTTAAAATTATTATTAATAAATATCAAATTTTCTGAAAGTTATTTTCTATAATTATTAATTGATGTAATTGAGATAATATTATTATTAGTAGTAGTAAATTAATATTTGCAATTATTATTCTATTTTTTAATATCTATTAAAAACATTTTTTTTTGAAAGTTATTACCTATTTTCGTTATTTGAAAGCTTTAATACCTCTAATTTATTTAATCGATTATCATTATTTCAATAAATACTTAAAATTTTTTAAATTATTTATATTTTATATTATTATTATTATCAAATATTATTAAATCTACTATAATTATTTGTGTGTTTTAGATAATTTTTTTAATGTTATTACATAATTTTGTTATTTAATCTATTATGTTTGTTTATAAATAATATTTAAAATACCATTTAGTTATTAAACTTTTGATATTTAAAATTAGTTATTTTAAATATTATTTAATTATTTAAATAATATCATTATTTAGTTATTTAAATAATATCATTATTTAGTTATTTAAATAATATCATTATTTAGTTATTTAAACATTACTTATTTATTGAATTTCATAATCCGTAAAATTAAAAGTTATACTATTATTACATAATTTCGTTATTTTAACTATTTAAAATTTAGTTATGTTAAATATTTCATTATTTAAAATATTTAAATAATGTGTAAAATATTTAAAAAGTTTTGTTATTTAAATTTTATTTATTTTAAAGTTATTACATAATATTAAATATTTTGTCATATAATTATTTAGCTATTTTAAATATTTAATATTTATGAATTTCATAAAAATATAAAATTATTAATAATATGAATACTAATAAATCTATTATAATTATTGTTTTGTGTTTTAATAAGTATTTTAAAGTTATTATATAATTTCATTATAATATTTAGATAATTCTTAAATTTTTAGTGGGGGAGAGCATAAATAAGAATTAGAGATAATTTAGGAGAGAAGATCTCTAGTAAATTATAAATTAGAGATAATTTAGGATATAAATAGGAATTATAGATAATTTAGGAGAAAGTGATGAATAATGGTGCCACTTTGCTAGATTAGATTAGATTTTAGTAAACAGATTTTAGGAATAGTTTTGATAGGGGATATCCAAAGGGATAAATTCGCTTGGGCATGCTGGGGTGTCAATATGAGAGAGGGAGAAGGGAGTGATGAGGTGGCTTCATGAGGAACTAAGGAAGACTAAAATGAAAAGGGTCTGAGACTCCGTTGGGGTTGGGGTAAGGGAGAAAGCTGAGGTCATTTGACATGGTACTTTCTACTTTAGTATGTATATAGATTCTATTACAATGATTTTTTAACCTAGATATTCACCATCCATCTTCAAAAGCTGAATTTTGTTCTCTAGGCTTAATTTGGAAAGAGTACAAATACAAATATGTAAATGCAAATTGTGGATTTATATTGCATCTAATGGAAGAGCATAGATTCATTTCTTGTTTGGGTAGTATAAGGAAGCGTTTTTTTTTTCTTCATAGTGATTAGGTTATGAGTCCCTGATACAAAAAACGCTGGCCACAAGACCCACAGCCACACATCAGGGACATTTCTTGTGAGTTTGGATTTGTTGACCACAATACATTGCTGGCTACCTTCATCCAACGACACATCAGGAACATCGGTTTTACTTTATATTGTGATATTCCCTATGTCTGGCTGGATGCATGTGGCCAGCAATGGTTGTAGTCAGCAGATAATCTATGGGGAGATGTTCTGAATGTACACACGGTTGGCCTTGTACACAGGATGCAGCCACTGTTTTGTGGTCAACAGATTCAAACGCTTGGGCTCAGTTTGGAAGGAGTACAAATACAAATACGTAGAGTGCAAAACCTTGTATTTTGTATTATTTTGTATGTATTTATATTTGTACTCTTTCCAAACTAAGCCTTAGGTCATAACGTTCCCCTTGGCAACCACAAATTAGGTTGGTAGATTCTATTCCCCACAAGAGCAATTTCAACAAGCTTGTCTTCTGCAATGGTATTTCCCTAAAGTAGTGTTTATATTGAGAAAAAGTAAGAGACCACCAGAAAATTGAGGAAAAATTCTTTGACAAACATAACCAAGACAAAAACCGAAATATCTTAAACAAATTTCACTCAACTTTCTGTTTCTCCTACTTTCTCTCAAAACAAACATTACTATCTTTCCATGGTAGGTCTAAATTATCAAAACACAGAAACCATAGAGTTTTTCCCCGCAAAACAATGAAGAATTATTAGGGACCAAATAATAGAGTCAATTAGGGGGCGTTCTACAATATGAATACTTTTGTTTTCATTTGTTTTTGAAATTGCCACATCAGCAAAAAACAAAAACATGTTCTTGAACTCTGTTTTTATTTTCAAAAGGAAAAACAAGTTTATGTGTTTTTGAAACCAACAAAATATTGGTTTTTAAAACAAAAACAACTGTTTTAATATAGATAGGGAAAATCTATGATGCAGAAAAGACATGATATCGAAAGAGTTTTGACCAACCAAAACCCACCCATGAGTTTTGATAAATAACACCTGATTGGCTACCATGTCTATGATTCCAATTGATTTGTCAGACATTTTTCTGATATAATCTTTTCCATGTCATAGTCGAACCCATATAAATATTGTATGATTTATGGAACATGAAATTGAATAATCAGATGAAACCATGCTTTTGAATAATTAGTACATGGTTTCAGTTTTAAAAACAGAAAACAAACACACAACTAAGAACATGTTTTTTTTTTTTTGTGCTTGTGTTTTGTAAAATAATCTGTTTTCAAGGTTTTAATTTGTTTTTGGAACTGACATAAAAAAAAAATCACCTTGTAGAATGCCCCCTTAGTGGGTCGAAAGTATATAGTGGTTAGTGGGTGATAAATGTCACTTGGGTTTTTCAACGATACTCTCTTCATGACATAACATAAATGGGTTTAACTTGTATTAGTGGTTAATTTCTTAAGATGCATGCTTATAATGTTAATCAATATTATGAAGATTAGTTTTTTTTTTTTTTTGGGTAAAAGCGAAGATTAGTTTTAAGGGTAATAACTGGGTGTAACTTTTGATTGAAAGTACTTGTTTGGCATTTAAAACTTTTTGAAAGTCTACTTTACCTTTATCCAAAAAATAGTCTATTTTACTTCTAGCTTGTATATTATATAGTCAAAAATATTCCTATTTATAAAGCTTTTCTGCTAGGGAATGAAAAGTTGAAAATGGATAAAAGAAATAGAAACTTGGGACAGTAGGACTGTGTTTGCTTTGGAGGCAAAACTAATACTTTTCTTATCAAGGGCATTTTTAGAAAAAAAAAATGTCTATTTCCATCAACTAAAGCTGTGTTTGGTTTGATAAAAGAAAAAGTTGATGGAGAAGTTCATAAAGGATTTTTGTGGAAATTACTTGAGAATTTTCCTTCAACTCTTTGTTTCTTTCTTATTTTTTATCAAACCAAACATAGTCTATGCGTGCAGCTTGGGCAGGTTGGGGTGGGTTTAAGGTTAACCCAAGCCCAACCTTAAAACTTTGACTTAAGACCCAAGACCGTATTATTGGCACAATTCATTGAAAAAGGCCCTAAACCTGTCTAAATTGGGATGTAGGGAATATATATAATTGGGCTGGGCTAGAGTTTGGTTACAGTTGGCTCGGGCTTGGACCCAGGTAAAAAAAAGTCAGGGTTTAGGCCTAGGCCCAGCTTGAGGATTGAAATCCAAGTTCAACTGCGGAAAATTTTGGATGAGGTTAGTTTTTTTTTTTTTTGGCTCAAATTGAACCTGATGAAGTTGCATCCCTACCAGTTGGCTCTAATTTTTTAGGTCAGAATTGGTTTATAATAATTCAATCCATGACAAGTTTATAATATTTCAACCAGCCATTGCAGTCATACATTCGGAACATCTTCCCATGAATGACAGGGGAGATATTCCCAATGTGTGACTGCAGTGGCCTGTTAGGACAGTATTGGAAGCTTATTTTTTTATGGATGATGGGTTTGGATTAAATCCTAACCGATACCTGACAGTTTCCATCCCTAATAAAGAGATGGTAGACAAATAAGAATCTGGCAACCCGGATGTTATTCTGAAACGAAGTTGGCCAAATCACTTTTTATTAGTCTGTTCATTTTGGTTGTTGTGAACAGTTTTTATATTCGAAAGTTGAAATTGGAATTGAATTTTTCCGGCATATTCTCTTCTTACTAATTAGCAACCACAAGTGGGATTGCCAGATTGGAGGTATTTGACAAATCACGATTAATTTCTTGTCTATGTCCAACCTCTTATTCGATAAAATAATTTTGTTTTAGCCTTATTAAATTCTTGGAACTTGTAGGATTGTGCTTTATTTGGTTTTGGGATTTGAGAAAGAAAAAATCTACTTCAAGGTGGAGATATAGAGCTGGTGTAGATCTAAGCAAACCATTTGCCCAAGTGTGGAACTTGGGCGAAATTGTTACTGCGCATATCTTGTGGGAGAAAACCAGTCGAACTGAGTTGAAGATGAAACCAACATCATTGGATTTTCTCAGATGCCTGATCTGTGGTGTAACGGTGCTTATGGGACGCTAGAAGTACATCTAACACCAACAGCTGCAGAGCGACTATTTCAGTTTCAACAGCTGAAAAAAATACAGAATTACAGATACAATCACAGGACATACAGAGTGAACGACACCAATGAACAAATCTCTCCGACTCTGACAGATCAAAGAGTGTAAGAGGGAGTTAGACTGGGTTGGAGAAGCATTCCTTTAACTCGGAATTTTGGAACTTGTTCTCCCTTAATGCAACTACAACCTTCAATCCAAACCCATTCCCATCTACCCTTTTCTGGTACTTCTCTCCAAACCAACAATTCAGACTCAAGATCCCTGTACAAGTATACAGCCTCATCAATCCCCACACACTTGGTGCTAAACCAGTTTCCTTTGCCCCCAAGAAACCTCCTTCCCAATTCCGTTGGCACCATTTCCACCAATACCCATTCATCTCCAGCTCCAAGCTCCCATATGCAAGCTTGTCCCTCACAGTCTCCCCCAACAAGCGCCAGCCTTCCCTTTCGCCTCACCAGAGCTGCGAACTCCAGTCGATCTGCCTTCGGCACCTTCACCTCCTTCCACAAACCAGTGCTCACCTCGAAGCCCATCACGCTGTAGGCACGGGCAGATGTCATCCAATACAGAAACCCATCAGAGTACACACTCTCATTCGGGGTCCAAACTGTCAGCCTCACCGCAAATTCAATCGGCATCCGTCCAAGACTCTGCCATTCATCAGCTCGTGAATCATACATTTCCATCGTGGGTTCATATGTGGTACCCCCACGGGTTGCCGTCGACATGCCTCCGGCGACGTAAACTCTGAAGGAGGAGAGGGCATCATCTCCAGTCTTATCCACCCCAATCACGCTCACAGCCGGGCTGGTGCGTGGGATGTTTAAGGCGGGAAGAAGTCTGTAACGTCTGGTGAACAGGTTGCACAGCGCCAATTGGAGGGGAGATGAGATGGCGGGTCTGTAGAGAAGGAGAATGCCAATCGGAGCAATTGGGCGAATTGGGTCCGGGAGGAAGTCGAGAGGGAGAGAGTGCCACCGATCAAGAGCTGGGTTGTGAACGTAGCAGGAGAGCCCCCGGTTGCGCGAATGAACGGCGAGGAACCACGGAGGTTGGCACGGCCGGAGCTCTGCTGGGACTGTGTAGGAAGTGCAAGCCTTGGCACACGTCTGCCAGTGCTTGCAGGCTGTTGTAGCACGCGCCAAGGAGTCCGGCGAGAGGAAGGAGAAGATCCTGGCAAGAAGATCAAAGGGGAGGTGGTTCCACATATTAGAGATAGGTGGTCATTGAAGATTTTTGTTTTTTGTTTGTGAGAGGATTTCAGAGATATCTGTTGTGTATATATTGCAATTTGGTGGTGACTGGTGAGTCATTGAGTTGAATTATTGGAGGTGTACGGGATTGGGTTGTCTGACCCACATAGATGACCCACATCTGAATTGTATTCCTATTTTTAATCCCATTTGTACCCTTTCTGACGTGTAAATCTATAGAGGTTGGTTTTTGGTGGAGCCCAAAAGCCAATAACATCATAGATTCATAGTTAGTTGAATTCCCTGACCCTGCGTCTGTTACCCTCTATCTCGACGGCAACTCGACTAAATGTCTGTAAAGCGAAAAACGCCAGCAGAAATCATTACCAGACACCCTAACTGCTCGTCTAACCACAAGTTGTAAACGGATCGAATTCGAATAGGATTAGAAAAATATGATATCTGAATTCGATTTGATATCCGATGGAAATTGAAAATTAATATATGAATTCGAATCTGATTAGAAAAATATGATTTGATATCTGATTAGAAAAATATGATATCTGAATTCGATTTGATATCCGATGGATATTAAAAATTAATATTTGAATTCGAATCCGATTAAATATTCGAATATTTGATTCGATTCGAATTTGATTAATTAATTATTTTAGATAATTAATAAATATATAAAATAAATATTCTATTGATATAAAACACATAAATATATACATTATTTATATAACTTAATTATTATATATAAATTATATAAAATATTTTATATATTATATAAGAATTAAATAATCAGTTGTATTTATCGAATCTAATCAGGTTATATTCGAATTTGAATCCGATTAACTATTCAGTAAGAATAGAATATCCGAATTCGACCTATTAGATATTTGAATTATCCGAATTCGATTAGATTATGTCGAATATCGAATTCGAAATTGGGTTTTCGAATACCATTGATACCCCTACTCCCAACCTTTTACCTAACCGGCTCCCTTAACCGTCTACCCTCTCCCCGAAGTCCTGAACAGGGCTTCCATTGGGATTCAACTGCTAACACATTGGCCACGCCAAGTTTCGTCTTGTCGAGCATGTCGACAAAAGGCAAAGAAATAGTCAGCACCTCCAATATCATGCATGCAGAAGAAGAATTTGAAGCTTATTTTTCTCATGCAGTGGACATAGAGGATGACGGTCAATCACCGAGCTTTGAACCACTTGAGGAAGCACAACAACTAATAAATCTTACTCTAAAAGGCCGACTCTTCCCTCGGCAACAAATTAATGAGGAGTTATTATCGAATCATGTTAAGTCACAGTGGAAAACTTCTGGTCCTGTAACAGTTCGCTTCTTGGAAGGTGGCAGTTTAGAATTTGCATTTACTACACATGGGCCCTGGTTTTTCAGGTTGAGCTGGATACTTTTGGGAGATTGGAAAGATTCCCTCACAGGTATGGTTGAAAAAGTATGGACACAAAGAATGTGGATGCAAATACACATGATCCCAGAAGAAGGAAGAGTGAACTTCCTTGCAAGTACAACGGGCCAAATCCTGCCAAACCAAGAGATGAAAACCTAGAAAAGAGGGAAAATGTGCATGGCACTAAAGATAGACATGTCCAAGGCTTTTGATAGGGTGGGCTGGTCATATCTATTGTAAGTGCTAAAAAAAGATGGAGTTTCCTGAAAAGTGGTGCAAGCTAATGCATCAGTGCATGTCCACAACCAGCTTCTCCATAAAACTAGAAGGAGAAACTCATCAGTATTTCAAATTAAGCAGGGGAGTAAGACAAGGACACCCCATTTCTCCTTACCTCTTCATCATTGGAATGGAAGTATTAACCTAGTTGCTCAATCTAGCTGCATCATCTAAACAAATTGAAGGGATCCAGCTCAACAAAGAAGACACTCCAGTTACACATTTATTCCTTGCAGATGATTGTATCTTATTCTGTAGAGCAGATTTGGAGCAAGTCAAGGCCTTGGTAAAACTCCTCAATACCTTGGAGTCCATGTTAGGCTAGAAAATAAATTATTCTAAATCAAGCATCTTCTTCAGCAGAAATGTGCCTCGACATCATCGCAAGTTTCTCTCACATACCCTACATGTGAAGAAATCACTAGTAGGCACTAGACCTATTCATGGGCTGGGTGGCCCGACGGGCCGGCCCGGCCCGGCCCCCTTGAACACGCAAAAGAGTCCACGGGCTTAACCTCGGGCCAAAAAGCCCGGCCCGCAATAAATTCGAGCCGGGCTCGAGATTTTCCAAAATAGCCCGGCCCGGCCCAACCTATAGATTAAAGTTAAAAAACCCTAGTTGAACCCCTCTTCTCTTTCACCTCTTTCCAACCGAACCTTTCTTCTCTTCAGTCTTCACATCCTCCTTAGTCCTCAGTCCTCACACTCTCAGGCAGCCACACAATCGGCGAGGCGACGAACATTCACCATTCCTCCTCACTTTCTCTCTCTTTCTTTCTTTCTCTCTCTCTCTCTCTCTCTCTCTCTCTCTCTCTCTCAGACGCGAACTGATCACTGTTGAAATCACAGCTTACAAATCTCAGACACCGTGATTTCATCTTACAATCACCGGCGAGGCGGCAAATATAGGCACCAGCGGCGACGGTGAGTTCTCTCTCTCTCTCTCTCTCTCTCTCTCTCTCTCTCTCTCTCTCTTTTTCTCATACGCGAACTGATCACTGTTGAAATCGCAGCTTACAGTCACCGCGAACTCGGGCCCAAGTTGTAGGCCCGTTGGTCGGGCCGGGCTCGGGCTCGGGTCTAACAAATTTCCATTCATGAAGAGTAAAAGCCCGGCCCGAGCCTGGCCTGGCCCGGCCCATGAACAGGTCTAGTAGGCACCAAATATCTTGGAAGCCAAATTGGTACAAGCCCTAGGCTCTGCTCTACCCACGAGGAAGTTCTTAGTAATGTAACAGCTAGAATAAATGCATGGAGCTCAAATTTGCTGTCCCAAGCAGGCAAAACCACCTTAGTCAAATCAGTCTTGTAGTCCATCCCCACATTCTCCATGTCAACAACAATCTTTCCAAAAGCCACAAACTCAGAATTAGATAAAACTTACAAGAAAGTTCTGGTGGGGAGATACAACTGGGAGAACCACACACTATTTCTTGGAGCAAGATATGTAAGCACAAACAATAGGGAAGACTAAGCTTCAGATCTAATGAGATTATGAACAATCCCATGTTCGGGAAGCAAATCTGGCGGCTATTGAGTGATAGCAAGGGTATTTGGAGCAAACAAATAAAAGCTAAATATTTCCCACATACCTCCCTGGTGGAAACAAGCGCACTCCATACTATTATCACAGTTGAAGTCAAACCTACTATGGTCAATCAAAGATGGCCGAGACACCCAATCCATCAAGGACCCATGGATACCTACCCTGCCGGGGCACACGCAAAGTTTGAACCCATTGATATTTGAATCACAAGTCAAGAACATGAAAGTCTTTGAACTCCTCACTTCGGAAGGATCTTGGGACACTGCCAAACTAAATATGTTCTTCCAAGAATCTGTGGTCTCTCATATTCTATCAATAATCCCAGATACAAGCCAGCAAGTGGATAAAGTGATTTGGAAGAAGAACAAGTCGGGTTCATATTCGGTGAAGTCTGCCTATCAACACTTGTCCACATTTGAAAGCTCCAGTTTTGGTCCTCATTTCAACTGGAAGCTAATTTGGAAGCTCAAAATCCTGCATAGATTCTAGGTTTTCTTATGGAAACTAATATGGCACAGCGTGCCTACTAAACGGAAATGCTCACCATGGCTGCAAGGAGAGGACTGAATATGTAGCTTCTACAAGGTCAGCGAGGAGACAACCTTCCACCTATTCTTTCAATGTGTTTTTACAAGAGCAGTTTGGTGTGGAGCCCAAATCAGGCTGAACCTAGACACAATATCAGAAAATCAGCCACACACCATTATCAATGAATGGTTTACAAGCCTAAAATCATCAGTAGGTGAACAACAAACACTCTTGTACTTCAGCAGATTTAGTATCATATGTTATTTCATATGGAAAGCAAGGAACGGCAACATATTCAAAAATAGACAACCGGATCCATATCATGTCATACAGACAACATCCCAATACCCCATAACACACATCATCCAGCATAGGCAAAGTCATCGCACCTTCCCACTAACACAGTTCATGTCAACCTTACATGTCGATGGCTCATTTGATCCTGTAAATACAGGTTATGCAGGACGAGGGTTCGCCATCCAACATGCGCAACATCAACTTTGTATTGCACAAGGGAAGCCTTGCTGGGCCATCAACAGCTATGATGCCGAAACAAGAGCTCTCTTAGGAGGACTACAAGCAGCACAATCACATGGTATTACCCATCTTTTGGTTTTCTTAGATAGTGCAGCCTTAATGGAGTTTGCAACCGCAGATAAACCAATCCAATGGTCTGATCATCTTCATCGAAGCTATCTGCAGAGACTGATTTCATCTTTTGAATATATTTAGTTTGTACATATAAGTAGAAACAACAATTAAGTGGCCCATCTTTTTGCCTACATATCATGTAAGGGCCGCATATCATTGCATTACAATGGAGCTAACTCCCCCCATGTAAGACTTGTTTAATTAATCCAAGGCTGCTTCTTTTGACAAAAAAAAAAAAAGCCAAGAACATCACTCTCTGGTTTTTTATCAAATGATTTGAACTTTGTGTTAATAAAAATCGGAGAAGTAAGGACAGGGCCAATGCAGATTTCTGAATTCCACTGTAGATCTATAAACATTTAAAATATCAACAAATTTTGTCCATGGACTGAACCATCATTCTCTAGAATAAAAACACCTCACCTCACCTTAACTGATTTAAGGAATTGGGATATGCTCATCACACAGGGCGCCTCACACCGACCTCCCATGAATCATAATGTATAAGTATGGAAGATGTTCTCAATGCAAGGTGGGATGTGCCTGTAAAGTCGGTGTGTAGAGCAAATCCGGTCTCGTCTGGTTTTTTGAAATGGCATTGGGGTGTATTGGACCAAGTGGCCTCCAATTGTTCATACATCAAGTCTAATAGGTTTTCACGTGAGAGGGTGTATTAGAGAGTAAAAATCT